GCCCAATAAATAAGTGGGCTAAAGACTTGAAGAGAAACCTCTCGGGAGAAGAAAGAAGGATGGCCAATGGACACATGAAGAAATTCTCAACCTCCCTAGGCATAAAACAAATGCAAATCAAAACAACATTGAGATACCACCTCACCCCAGTTAGAATGGCTATAATCAAGAACTCTAACAACAGATGCTGGAGGGGATGTGGACAGAAGGGAACCTTACTTCATTATTGGTGGGAGTATAAACTTGTTCAACCACTTTGGAAAGCAGTATGGAGGTTCCTGAAAAGATTTCACATAGAGCTCCCCTATGACCCAGCAATCCCACTTTTGGGCATTTACCCAAATGTTTACAAACAAGGCCACACTAAAGCTACCAGCACAATAATGTGTATTGCAGCATTATTTACCATAGCTAAGATATGGAACCAACCCAGATGTCCCTCAGTAGATGAATGGGTCAAGAAAATGTGGTATATATACACAATGGAATTCTATGCCTCCATCAGAAAGAATGACATTGCCCCATTTGTTAGGAAATGGAAAAGCTTGGAAAAAATTATATTAAGTGAAGTTAGCCAAGCCCAAAGAAACATAGGTCCCATGGTTTCCCTTATTTGCAATATCTAGTATATGTATGAGTCAAGCAGAAAAGGTCAGATAATGTGATGTTAGGAAAATGAACCCTTAGATATGTATTTAAAAGTTTTTTTCTTTCATGCATTTGTCTCTAACGCATTTATAAGGTTATTTCTTTGTTGCTTTGTATGTCCCTCCCCCATAGTATAACCCCTGCTTTCACTGTATTTGATGTCGGTATAATTTGTGGAGGAGATGGGGAAAAGCAAGTCGTTTAAGGATACAGGTGGACCTGTTGCAACTATGAGAAGTACAAGTTGTCATGTCAAAAACGAACTTTACAACTTTGTTGGGGGGGGGGGGAGGTTGGGAGGGGAACAGGGGGAGGCTGGGAAGGGATGTGAAGGGTAAACAAAGGAGGAGGCTGCAATGCTTGATAAGAAATGTACTCTTTATCTTGCCCATGTAATTGTAACCCCTCTGTACAGTATGTTCACAAAAAATTAAAATTAAATTAAAAAAAAAACAAATTGAAAGCTCCTTGTACAGTTATTTAATGTAACAAAAAATAAGTGTAATAAACTCTTTGCACCACTTGAAGTTTCATTAATTCTGGTGGAAAGAGAGAGTGACCTATTTTCCATCTTCTGCATGTGTAGATCCAGTTTTTAGACTTTTATCCAGTGATTCATCCCCTGCATGTATTTGTGCGTGTGTGTGTGTGTGTGTGTGTGTGTGTGTGTGTATGTGTATGTGTGTGTGTGTGTGTGTGTGTGTGTGTGTGTGTGTGTGTGGTGGGTTCCTTTGTCAAATTCATACTGAGGTCATCTGATTTGTTTTGTTACTCTTCATGTCTGAGATTGGCAAGCACAATACTGAATTTGAGACTAAGGATCTGTAGTACAAATTGAAGTCTTTTGTTGGAATACCTCCTGCATAATTCTTTTTTGCTTAAGATGGCTTTGGTATTAATTTGTTCCTTGATATGTCCCTCCCCCGCGGTATAACCCCTGCTTTCATTGTATTTGGTGTTGCTATAATTTGTGGAGGGGAAGGGAAAAAACAAATAGTTTAAATAGGGATACAGGTGGACCCATTGCAACAATGAGATGTACAAGTCGTTATGTCAAAATTAACTTTACAACTTTGGTGGGAGAGGGAGAGGGAGTAGGATTGGATGAGTGGGCCGGGAAAGGAAGGGAAGGGATGGGAACGGGAAACAAAGGAGGAGGGTACAATGCTTGATAAGAAATGTACTCATTATCTTCCCCATGTAATTGTAACCTCTCTGAACAGTATTTTCACAATAAAAAAGATGGCTTTGGCTTTGGGGATATTTTGTGCTTCTTTATGAGCTTTAGGATGGAATTTTCTGTTTCAATGATGAATGATTTTGAGATGTTTATAAGGATTGCTTTGAAAATATTGATCATTTTGAATGATACAGGTATATTCACAATATTCTTTTTCTCAATCTACGACCAATGAAGTTTATTTTTCTTATGTCTGCTACTTTCTTCAATCACTAATGGTTTTAGGTAGATCTCTTTCTCTTCTTGGTTACATTTATTCCTAGGTATTTAAGATACTTTATGTTAAGTACTATTTGGACTTTGATGGTTTCCCTGGCTTCTTCCTCAGTTTAGTGGTTGCTGTGTTTAGACTACTTTGCTAAATGGATTTAACTTATTTATTTGATTTTAAAGATATCACAATATCTGTCCATTTCTTGGGAGTGACATTTTAATCTAGTATGTGGCATTTGATAAGATGTCACTCTAGCATTCAATCTCTTAGACTCCATTTTCCAGCACAGGTGATCAATGCAATCTTCAATGAAAGTTTTAGAAGTCTGAGCCCTTGACCCCTTGCCTCATACAGTTCTACCAAGCTTGTGGTTTTTCCTTCATCCAAGTCAACCACCAATTCAGTTTATTTTGCATTTAGCCAATATTTTCCGCTGCTGAGCTCTGGTTCCACCCACAGCTAAAAGGAAAGTTTAGAGATGTAGATGGCCCCAATGTCCTGCCCACACGAAACCTTTCACATTTGTTTCACTGACAGATTTTATGTAGGTATGTTCATTGTTTCTCTGCTAAGGTAATGCATTTCCATGGATGTGCGCTCCCTAAATTAAGAAATCCCATCATCTTTTGATTTCCAGCCTGGATTAAAAGAAGACTATTCTGATTCTCAACAAGGGTTATCAGAGTTCACCATTGGTTTTTGGCTTGGTCTTAATTTTTGTATTTCTGCAAACAAGTGTACTGTATTTTTTAGTGGAATTAAATTGAATCTATAGTGTGCTTTTGGGAATATAGTCCCTTCACAGTTTTAGTTCTGCCAAACTGAACACAGGTTAACTTTTCATTTTCTGGTTCCAGCCCAATTTGTTATTTTGTAGCTTTACTTTTACTGTAGATATATTTACAGATCTTTTTTTTTTAATTTAATTTATTTGTGAAAATACTGTACAGCGGAGTTACAGTTACATGGGCAGGATAATGCGTACATTTCTTACCAAGCATTGCAGCCTCCTCCTTTGTTTACCCTTCACATCCCTTCCGAGCCTCCCCCCTCCCCCCCTAATCCCAATCCTTCTCCTTCCCCCCCCCCCCCGCCCCCCCCCCCCCCCGCACCAACGTTGTAAAGCTCGTTTTGGACATGACAACTTGTACATCTCATTGTTGCAACAGGTCCACCTGTATCCTTAAACAACTGGTTTTTCCCCATCTCCTCCACAAGTTATACTGACATCAAATATAGTGAAAGCAGGGGTTATACTGTGGGGGAGGGACATACAAAGCAACAAAGAGATAATCTTATAAATGTGTTAGAAACACACGCATGAAAGAAAAAAACATTAAAATACACATCTAAGGGTTCATTTTCCTGACATCACATTTATTTACAGATCTTTTGATATGTTTTGGGTCCTAGGTATTTGTTTTTGTAAAGCCAACATTTGAAGGTATATATGAAATCAACTTTGGTTTCATTTTTCATTTCTTTTATTTAGTGAATTTAAAATTAATTTGTTCCAAATAGACAAGAGAGATGCCAATTTTCCCATCCTAAATAGATTGATTTTCACATTTTTCTATTATTTTAAATTTGTACTTGTATACATATATTTTTCTTTTTATATACATTTTATTATACAGATTATGTACACATGGGTTACAGTTTAACATGAGTTTCATTATGTTGGTTTTAAATAGGCACATAAACTCTTTTGTCCAAATGATCTTGTGTCCATTATAATTTATTTCCTCTATATATTTAAATTATATCCATTATAATTTATTTCCTCTATGTATTTAAATTATATAACTGACCTCAGATATTTTATTTTCATCCATACATATGAAATCCTTGATAGTTGGTAGAATATATCCAAACCTTTGCAAAGGTACAAAAATAAGATTAAAAAAAAGGCATTTGATTCCCAATACCATACCCAAACATACACGTCCCTCGCCATCACACAGACAAGGAAGATTAGTAAACCATGACCCAAGTGCCAAATCCAGGCTGCTTCTCATGAATAAAGGTTTATTGTAACACAAAAATTCATATGGCTACATGGCCCTTGTTCCCTTCTTACTTACTTCTGACCTTCTATTTATCCATGAATTCCTCCTTTATATGGAATTTACTTTCTTCTTGTACCTTATCCATCCAATCTTGCTTCAACACATCAATCTAACCATGGGTATATTCTTTTTTTTTTTCATTTAAGAGAAAATGTGTTGTGCAAGTTTTTGAAATCCTAAGAAAATTAGCAAGGAGTACAAAATATTGTGCAAAATCACTGAAATTACATGTTCTAGCAACAATTTATTTCAGTTCACACAATGAGGATTCAGTATTTCATTCAATAATATGAACTCAACCTTATTACTGAAATTTCTTCAATAAGTAAGGATGGTAGACAACTCAATAGAAACTGATGAGTATTTTGATTATATTTTCATTATCATACTGAGGAAGTTGGAAATCATTTACATTTTCATTTGTTAAATAGCATGCCTACAACAAAAGTACATGCACATAATATTTTTGGCCTACATATTATTATAATTTCAACTAAAATTTAATTTATGGGAAGCTAGAGAAAGTTACATAGCCATTTATTTATTAGAAATACAAACGTAAGAAAAAGTTCTAAGTCAGCCTGGGCAGGATCACTTACTTCCAATAAGTGAACAAATGGAGACCAATGGAACTATGGTTCAAGAGGTAAAGAAGGCATGAGTGAAAAATTAGCAGGCACTATAGGCCTTGAGTTGAAGCATGCATAAAGGAATTTAATAAATATCAGAAGAAACATGAATGAAAATTCCATAATATAAACTATTACAAGAAGAGATAATTACCATAGATTTAGATCAGATCTTCTGTATACTAATCAAACCTCTGAGTTTAATCATAACAATGCATATTTCTCCTAATATGTCTTTTATCCCTAAAACAATATGGAGAATTTTTAATTGGAATTAGCAAGATGTTGTAGCACTTTGGAACAAATATGCAGCCTAGAAGCCCTACACTAGAGGCCAAGATGGAGAAGACCTCCACTGCCACCATGACTTTCCCCTTGGCACTGTGGTAGACAGGCAGGAAGGTGAGCCACACACTGCAGAACACCAGCATGCTGAAGGTCAGGAACTTGGCTTCATTGAAGGTGTCAGGCAGGTTCTTCGCCAGAAAAGCCACAGTGAAGCTGGCAATGGCCAGGGAACCCAAGTATCCCAGGACACAGTAGAAGGCAGTGATGGAGCCCTTGTTGCACAGAATGATGACATGGCCATGTTCAGAGTATGGATCTGTGTCAATGAAGGGAGGTGAGGTTCCCAGCCAGAGTCCACAGAGGGTCACCTGGATCAAAGTGCAGATGGGGATGATGAAGTTAGGAGCCCCAGATATCAGCAACCACCTCATCCTTCTCCCTGGAGAAGTGGCCTTGAAGGCCAGAACCACAGTCACCGTTTTAGCCAACACTGTGGAAACAGCCACAGTGAACACAACCGCAAATGTGATCTGCTGTAGGATGCAGGTGACTGTGTTGGGATGGCCAAGAAAGAGCAAGGAACAGAGGAAACAGAAAATGAGGGAGATGAGCAAGATGTAGCTGAGAGTCTGGTTATTGGCCTTGACAATGGCACTGTCTTTGTGTTTCACAAACACTCCAAGAACAACAATAGTTAGCATAGAGAAGCAAAGAGCCATGCATGCCAGAGCCATGCCCAAGGGATCTCCAAAAGCCAGGAAACTTGCAGCTTTCAGGACGCACTGGTTTCTCTGTGTGTTGGCATACTGATGATCTGGACACTTCACACAATGCTCCATATCTGGTGAGAAGTGTAAACTACCATTAGTTCTTGTTGTGAGCTTCTTTTTCTTCAAAGAATTTAAGAAATTGTTCATTTCTGTGGTATTCTTAATATAACACCATTTACTCTCATAATAGTATTTTTGTTTCTTTTGAAATCACAACTACTTAGTATTTCCATCTATTTTTATTTAGTTGTTTTTATTCAAGGTTTTTTTCCTTCAAGACTCTCACAAGTATTGAAAAGGTATGCATTGGAGTGTTATAATATTTGAACCAAAATTTTCTGTGTAGTCGAAATATACAACATTTGCATTGATTTGTTTGGGTTGAGGATAACTAGGGTAGGGGGAACAATTTCTTAATAAGTCATAGAATTACCTGTGACATTAGCAATCTCATTCTCTGGGCAAGGAGTACAGTCAAAGCAACAAGATGCCTTTTCCTCGTGACGAGATGTTCTGAATCCAGGACCACAACTCTCACTGCAGATAGAGTGAGGAGTCTGAGGAAAATCATAGACATGTGAGTAACTGTTCAGATTTCTATATAACACTTCACAGAGTTCATTGTTTTAACTAATTAATTACTAAACAAAATGTTTCTATGAATATGAAAGCAGTCAACTAATTGAATTCTGTTATAAAGTCCATATTCCATAATTCACAAATGCTTATGTGCTTCAACCTTGATTTCTAGACTGTGGAATCATTGTGAAGTATGGGATCTTTAAAAGGAGGAAAGTAGTGCTGAGAATGTAATTCCTAATGTACAGCCCTATGGGATTTTTTTGAATTCATGTTATACCTTACCTCCTATTCATCTGTGATATGGAGAATAGAAGAAGGAAGACCTCCTTTATGTAGTGTTATGTGAACCTCAGGCCCATGATATCTTCTTCATTTTCTAGTGTCCATGGCAGGGTAATATTCTCAGAGGTGCCTTTGAAGATTCCTTTTACCAATGATGGTCAATTAGCATGCCAATTAACCATTAAACCAATCTCCACAGAAGGACACAAAAGAAAACTTTCAATCCTGCAAAGCAACTCAGCAGGTACTTGATCACTGTGTTATAAATCAAGATCTTGGTACCAGATTGGAGATTTTTTGCTTAAAGTTACCACTCTGGTACTGGAAACATAGCTAACTTCCAGATTGTTAGTGGTTAAATGCACTTAACAGTCTCACTGATTTTCCTGTTTGGGCTGATATTTAACCATGATATTCAGATCTCCACTATCTGAGTAGCTAGATATGGGGGTAAGTTGCTAAAACTCAGCCAGGTATACACTAAAAGAGAGACTTCTGCTGATTTGTGTGTGCTTAAAAATTATTAGGATTAGATCCAACCCACCTCTGTAGTTCCTATGGCCCACTCTAACAAATCTTCAGATAAAGACAGTTGATTGCCATGTAGAGCATATGGAGAAAACTTTCCTACTTTCACTGCAAGTTCAAGGCCTTCTGGAAAGTTCCAAATATTCAGAACGTCATACTCTGGCTCCAATTTGCTTTTCTCATCCCAAATCACTTGATCTCCAGCCGGATTGTAATATTGGATATTTCTCAGGAAAAAGTGCAGCTAAAATAGAAACACTATATGGTAAATTACATCCCAGAGTTAAGACAGAAAACGTGACGTAAGAAAGCTCCTGAATCAATGTGGTAGCTATTAATATACCAACCATATTCTTCAATGAAATAGGAGAAGCCATTCCAAACTTCACATGGAAGAATAAAGACCTCAAATAGCAAAACAATCCTTAACAGAAAGAACAGTGATGGAGAAATAACAATATCAAATTTCAAACTCTACTACAAAGCCATAGTAATCAAAACAGCTTGGTACTGGTACAAGAACAGACCTGATGACCAATGGCATAGAACTGAACACATAGAAATGAACCCACAGGCCTATAGCCAACTCATTTTCAATGGGGGAGCTAAAAAACTAGAATGAAAGAAAGACGGCCGTCAGTAAATGGTGCTAACAAAATTGGTTAAACATCTGTAGAAAACTAAAGCTAGAACTTTATATATCACTCTGCACTGAGTCATCTCCAAATGGATCAAAGACCTCAAAGCAGACACCCTGAAAACTGTACAGGAGGGAATAGGAGAAACTCTAGGCTTCCTTGGCACATGTCGAAATATTCTTAATGAGAACACAGAAACACAAGAAATCAAACAATGATTGCACAAATGGGATTACCTTAAATTGCAGAGTTTCTGCATGACAAGGGACATAGCTAACAAGATCCATAGGAAGCCCAGAAGAAACTCATATCTAAAGAGTACTTAGAACACAAAATATTAAAACCCCAACAACAAATGGTCAATAGACAAATGAAGAAATCATTAAACTCTCTGTCCATAAAAAAAAAAAAAAAAAAAAAAAAAAAATGCAAATCAAAACAGCATTAAGATTCCACCTCACATTAGTTATAATAGCTATAATCAAGAAATCTAATAACACCAGATGATGGAAGGAATGTGGATAAAAGGGAGTCCTAGTGCATTGTTGGTGGGAGTGTGAACTTGTTCAACCACTTTGGAAGCACTATGGAGTTTCCTTAAATGATTCCACATAGAGCTCCCCTATGACCAAGTAATCCCACTTTTAGGAATTTATGCAAACAATCATAAACAAGACCAAGCTAAAATTATGAGCACAACTATTGCAGCATAATTCACCATAGCTAAGATATGGAACAAACCCAAACAGCCCTCAAGAATGTTATATATATATATAATATAAATATTTTATATTTATTTATATATATTCATTTATATATATACACATCTACATGATGGTGTGTAAAAATAAGAGATACATGCAATGAGCCTAGCATGAAATATCTCGTTTTCATGGTGAAATCCCACTGTAGATTCATGACACAAACTTTGCCTTGCATTAAAATTTGCTCAAGACTTATTATTATAGATATTAGGGAATCTTTATCACCATATATGATGAGGACACTTGCTGAAGAATTATTGATCTTGTTATAAACTGCCATCACTCTGAATAAATGTGACAGGTCTTGGGTTGAGACAACTAGCTCATATATATTTATATAATAAAAAATATATATATGTATATATATATATATGAATTCAATTCTATGCGTCCATCTGAAAGAATTATTAACTGAAGTAAGCCAGGCACAAAGCTACACAGGTCCATGGACTCTTCTATTTGCAATAACTAGTACACACGTAGGATAATCTTAGCAGACCAGCAGAAATGTCAAAAGATATGTACAGATGACCACACAATATAATGCTAAGTGAAATGGTCCCCATGGTAGAGACACAAGAGGTTTTATCCTGGTTGCTGTTGTTTTTAATGTACTAAAAATGTACTATAAGAATTTTTTGTTTATTTTCTAAGTTCTTCCCACATGGTATAACCCCTGTTTTCATTTTAATTGATTCCAGTTACCTGAATCTTATATATACATTTCTCTAATATGGGGAGAGGAAGGAAAGTAATAAAATAATGAAATGAGGATATAGGTTGACTCATTGTAACAATGAGATGTACAAGACACTATGCTGAAAATGAATTTAACATGGGGGTGGAGGAATTGAGAGAAGAGAAGGTGGTGAGGGAAGGGATGGTAGGGCAGAAACAAAGAAGATAATGCTCAATAGGAAATGTAAGCACTCTGGACAGTATTTTTTCAATAAAATCATATATTAACAAAGAAGTCAAAATATGCCTGATGGTTAAAAAACTTTATATAAACATGCGTATATATACATATATAAATACATGGATATATGCAGAAATTTAGAAATTCAAACAGTGAGAATTCTCTCAACAAGAGTTTTTACTAATGTTGTGTGCCATCTAAAGGAGAAATAAGTACCTGTGCAGGGGAAGGCACTGTTCCTTTCCTATTTCCCACTGTGTGAAATTCCGTTTGAAGAAGAAGCATCTCATCGAGAGCCTGGGCTACAGCATACACAGTTTTGTATATATTATAACTGTATCCAGACATAGTCATGTCAAAAATATGCCCATGCAACCAATCCAAAGAGGCGTCATGAGGGCAGTTGTCCCATGTTACACAGTCAGACTCAGCATCTGAGCAATTAAATGACAGAAACCACAGCCTCGCAAGAAAAATGTCTTCTGGGTATTTGGAAGGATTAACTGCCTTGACAAAATCTGTGAATCCAGAAACATCTGCATGATGGTGTGTAAAAATAAGAGGTACATGCAATGAGCCTAGCATGAAATATCTCGTTTTCATGGTGAAATCCCACTGTAGATTCATGACACAAACTTTGCCTTGCATTAAAATTTGCTCAAGACTTATTATTATAGATATTAGGGAATCTTTATCACCATATATGATGAGGACACTTGCTGAAGAATTATTGATCTTGTTATAAACTGCCATCACTCTGAATAAATGTGACAGGTCTTGGGTTGAGACAACTAGCTCATAGGCTACACAAACTCTGTTTTTGGCCATTTCTTCTTTTAATTCAGCCAGAAACCAGGAACCATTCTCATCCTGTGAGGTCAACAGCCCCACCCAGTTCCAGTTGAAGTGCAGCAGTAAAGAGACAATGGCTATGACCATTGATGTGTCTTTTGGGGCCATCTGATAGAGAGCAGGAAACTTGTTATGGTCACTCAGGGTATGATCAAAAGACCCAAAGGTAAACTAAAGGGAAAGAAAATTCATGAATGAGGAGCTTGCCATGCAACACAATCTCAGTCTTGAAGTAGGCTAAAAACAAGTTGAAGTAGGTAGAAGATAGTTTTGTTGTTTTTTAAAGTACAATTTAATGATTTGTAAATGTCTGTTGATCTTTATCAATAACTCTATCAACACATTACGTCTATATCAACCACAACCACTCCCTGACTTTCCAAATTCCATTTCCAAATAGGTACATTGAATATTAAGTTGTTTTTCCCTCCTGTCCATTTTTTATTCATCTGTCTTTTTCCCTTAACATCTATTCCAGTCAGACAAGGTGTAATTCATCTCTCTGGTGTTCTTTTTATACTGTTAGTAGATCAGAAAAGTTAAACCATGGTGTTCCATTCCTATATATACCATGTGTATATGTAAATGGCTATGTGCATGTTCCATATTTCTTTCAAATTACATAATCATATTTTAGATATGACTTTCATCTACAAGAGAACACATTTACCATTTCTTGTTCTGATGCTGACTTTCTTCTTTCAACCTATATATTCCAATGTGTGTATGTGTGTGTATATTTATGCGCATGCCAATACAGGGATACAAACACATGGCCTCTTCCACTTCCTTGGGTTTTTTCCCTCTAGACTGGTGCTCTACCATTTGAGTTACACATCACATTGTGCTCCTTGTTGGTTATTTGAAGATACAAGTTTTCTGAGTAGCCTGGAATATAGGTGTGAACCATGAATACCCTGCTCAACATATCTGCGAACTGCAAAGTCATTTTCCATTTCCTAACTTATTAAAGAACATTATTCATATAGCTTGAAGGAATAAATAAGCATTTGTCTGCTTGAACTCTTTCCAATCTTCTTTTCCAAACAGTGGACTATATGTATCCCACTATCTTTGAGTAGTTATTCTTTCATATCACAAAATGTAATAGTTTTAAAAATTGAGTGTCTTCCTTTCATCCTCTTTTAACACCTGACATCGTACCACGTTAGACATTTTTATAAACTTCCCACCCTCACCTGTGGAAATCTGTAGAGTCCCAACAATGTCCCAATCTGGTTAGATGTTATTCCTGATGGTCCTGTTAGTACTGCTGTAGACCTCCTGTCTCTCATACAAGAGTAGTTTGGAATCTTGTATTTTCCAAAGAGCCAAATGAAGGGATTCTTAAACATTGTCCAAGCTCTGAATTCAACATCATAGATATCAAGTCCCAGAGTCATGTTATGTAAAAGAACAGGATTTTTGTTGATTTCCTCAACAGCAAAAACCAAAGCCAAAACAAACTGATAGTTCTTGAAGATCCTACATGAGCATAGAAATTGAGGAGGAATATTTCAAAACTTGTGATTTTTCTGCGTTGAATGCTTGCTTCTTTGCTACTGAACAAATTATAATATTACCCTTAATTAGGAAGGAATGTAAATGTAGATTCTTATCCTTATATATTGAACTAGGTAAGGACATGAGGGGAATTTGTCATGAATGCGATTCAGAAACTTATTTAAGACGAGAGAGAGAGAGATAGAATGAGAGAAACAGAACTTTCTCCCACTACTACCTCATGGTAGTTGTCTTCATATTAGGTTTTATTGAGATAGCAAATATTCTCTTGCCTTTACCTTAGAACAACTCAGTACATCTTTGTGAAAAATAAGTTTATGTTTTGTGTTGATGTGGCAGGCCAGTCTAACGATCCAATGTTCAATTTAAGGGCAACTTTTATAAACAAAGTTATGAAAGATTGTATAGCAATGTCTTCTCACAGACCCAACATATTGAACAGCTCTTCCTACAATATCAACCCAAACAAGAGCTCAAAAACAGGTGAGGGAAGTTCATTTTTATTTATGTACCAAAACAAAAGGGATGCATCCAACTCCAATGAAATCATTATGGTGAGGGGAACTTCAAATACAGTGGATGAGGAGAGAATTGTAAGGAAGCTTTATATTGAAATCTCACTTCCAAGCCCACCATGGTAAAATGCAGTGATGGCTACTCTCTTGCCAATATATTTATACTGAGATACTTAAAAACAAACAAACCTGTAGAACGAAAGAAAGAAAAACAAAATATTGTAGTTTCTTTCTCTGTGTCCTGTCTGTGTGTGTAAGGCTGTGTTGTGTGTGTGTATATTCTATAGAAATTAATATAATGAAATCAACTGGCATTGTTTTAAAAGGAAACAATGGATTGCATAATGGAAACACAAATGAAAGTATTAACTTGTTCAACATGTTGTATAAATATATGTGAAACTATCGTAATGAAAGTCTTTCGTGTGAGCATAATGTTCTAAACAGAAGAAAATAGTAAGGTTTAAGGAATGTTGATTGTACATACACATATGGAGGAAAAAACTATAAGTAAGAATTGAGATGTGTGAAAATGGTTCAGAAAAGTTGACAAAGCATTTTCCAAAAAGCAAATAATACTGTTTTTCACAATCAGCAAATGGTTGGGAACGCCCAAAAATTTAAATGCCTGTTCAAATAAGCAGTGCCAGAATTTCAAATTCCTAGCATAGACAAGGATAAAATGTAAGTTACATAAATATGAAAGTATCATCAAATCTCTGATCTAAAATCTACATCAAGCTGCCTTATGATCAAGTTCTCACAAATGATATATAAATACAGGGTAGATAGTCTAGAATAGAACAGAATTTGGAGACAACACATAGCTCTGCCCCTGATTCCCAAACTGCTGACTCCTCAGTACAATCTGTAAGAGTCAGTAGAATACAATAGTATTACATGTTTTACAGTATTGACAGTATTTACAGTTTTGATGATAAAAATACTGAATTTATCCACCAGGAACATTTTATGGAAAATAGATCTCCTTTGGTAATGAAGGAAGGATTAAGATGTTCCCAGACAAGCACAGTTAAAGAATGTAACTCCTGAAGACATGTCCTACAAGAACTATTAAAGTAAAATTTTCAGACCATTAAAGAACCATTAAAGAGCAGGAAAATAATCCTGCCAATACAATAAAAGTAGAGTTCAACAGGAAAACCCAACCCAGGAAAGACTCAAACTCGTAGAAAATGATTGATTCAATACTGAGTAATCCATAGCTCTTCAAACATTTAAGAAAAGAAAACTTCAATTTTCTCCAACTTCTTGATGTTCAGAGCTATAAATTTTCCTCTGAGAACTGCCTTTTTTATGTCCCATACTAAACCCAAATATCATTGAATGATGCAACACAGGCTCTGAGAAAAGCAGGACATAGCCAAATCCTAAATTGTCAGAAAGACACAATGAAATAGACAGAATAAAACAAATAAAAAATAAAATAAATAAACAACAAAATAGACAGAAATAGATAATAAAAATAAATCAGAAATCAACTAATTAGGGTAAAAAAGCCACAAAAAGGATGAACACAGCAAAAAGCGGGTCCTTTAAAAAAGTTAACAAAATTGACAGACCCTTAGCAAATTTGACTAAGAAAAGAAGAGAAGACACACAAATTAATAAAATTACAGATTAAAATGGGAATATGACTACAGAGATATGAAAGATTCACATTATTATTAGGTAATATTCCACAAACCTTCATATTAGTAAATTCAAGAATATGGTAAAAAATAGGAAGCATCTTTAGTGTACACTGATAGCCCAAAACTTAGCCAAGGAGATTTACCTTAACTACATTGACCCATAAAAAATAATGCAATTGAAATAGCAATAAAGAATCTCCCATCCAAGGAAAGCTTAGTAACAGATAGATTTAGAGCAGTATGCTATAAGGTCTGCAAAGGGGAACTCACTCTCTTACTCCACAAATGCATCAATGAAATAGAAATGGAAAGATCACTACCAAGCTCATTCTATGAAGCAAACATAATACTCATCAAAAAACCAGATAATATAATATAAAAGAGAACTATACATCCATTAATTTGATAGACGTTGATGCAAAACTTCTCAACAAATTTCTAGCACAGGAAGTTCAGTAACTAACCAAAAACATCATACTTTTTATCAAATGGAATTCATTCCAGGATTGCAAACCTGGTTCAATTTATGCAGGTCAATTAATGTAATTCATCATAGCACCAGAAGAAAGGATAAGAACTACTTGACCATCTCAATAGATGCACAGAAGTAATTTGACAAGGGTCAGTACCACTTTTTAATAAAATCCCTGGGTAAGCTAAGAATCCATAGGAGGTTCCTCAATATAATAAATGATCTATATGGCAACTTAGTGCCTGCATTATATGTAATGGGAAAACCTTTAAACCATTCCCTCTAGAATCAGGAACAAGACAAGGATGCCCACTCTTTCCATTTCTCTTCAGCATAGTTCTGGAATTCTTCCAAGAGAAAAAACAGAAGAGGAACAAATAAAGTGGATCCAAACAGAAGAAAAAGTAAAGCTATACACATTTGCTGATTATATGGTCCTCTATTTAAAGCATCCTATGGATTCCTAAACCAAGTTCTTGAGTTGATTTAAAACTTTGGCAAAGTGGTGGGTTATAAAATCAACCTACAAAAATCAGTCGCCTTCCTGTGTGCCAACAATGTTGAAATCAGAAAGAAACATCATTTGTAATAGCTTCACAAAAAATAGTATATTTGGAATTTACTTCATAAAAGATGAGAAGGATCTGTATTGTGAAAACTTCAAGATTCTGAGTTAGAAATTGAAGCATACTTAACAAAATGGGAAAATATCCTGTGCTCCTGATTTGGAAGATTAATATTTTGAAAATCACAATTGTGCACAGAGGAATCTACAAATTAAATGGAATCCCCATTAAAATTCCAGAAATATTTTTCAAAGAAATAGAGATATCAATCCAAACATTCATATGGAATACGGAAAGACCTAGTACAACAAAATCAATCCATAGTAGGAAGAACCTGGAAGAATATCAGTATCAGTCTTCAAGCTTTAGTTCAAAACCATAGTAAGGAAATAGTTTAGTACTGTCACAAGAATAGGCCTGAGGACAAAAACAATGGAATACAAAACACAGAAACTATCCCACAAACATATAGCCACCTAATATTTGATAAGGGATCCAAAAACATAGCTTGGAAGAAACATACCCTCTTACAGAAATGGTGCTAGACAAATTGAGTATCTATATGCAGAAAACTTAATCTAGCTACATATATATCACCTTGCACCAGAATCAACACTTAAGGGCATGAAAGACCTCAACTTAAATGTGGTTAGGTCGCAAATATTACAGAAAGGGTAGGGGAAATCCTAAGCCCTCCAGAAATGGGGCAAAACTTCCTAAACAAAGATCTCCAAGCACAACAAGTAAAAGGAAGACTGCATAAGTGGGACTGTATCAAGGGAGGAGTTTCTGATTAACAAGGTTCATAGCTAACAAGATAAATAGCCCACAGATTGTGATAAAATCTTCGTTTGCTACATATCAGATAAAAGCCTCGTATCTAAATTTTACATAGAGCTAAAAAATTATCCCCCGCCAAAGAAACCTCCAAACCTCAACTACCTAATCAATAATTGGGCTAAAGATTTAAAGAGAGACCTCTCAAAGGAAGAAAAAAGAATGGCTAACAGACACATGAACAAGTGTTCAACATCTCTGGCCATAAGTGAAGGGCAAATCAAAATAATACTGAGATTCTACCTCACTCCAAATAGAATACCATTTACCAGGACAAATAACAACAAATGTTGACAAATGTGTCCAAAATGGCATCCAATGAAACTGTTGGTGGGAATGTAAACTTATTTAACCACTCTGGAAAGCACTATAGAAGGTCCTTCAAAGATTGCAAATAGAGCTTCCCTATGACCCAATAATTCCACTCTTGGACATTGAGCCAATGGATCACAAACCAGGTCAAACTATAGCCAAAATCACAACCATGTTTATTGCAGCATTGATTACCACAGCCAGGATATGGAAACTATGTAGATGACCCTCAGCGAAAAAATAGAACAAGAAAATGTGGTATATATACACAATGGAATACTACTCATCCAACAAAAAACAAAAATATCATACCATTCATCAGGAAAGGGAAAGACGTCAAAAAATTATATTAAGCCACATAAGCCACAACGAGAGACATACAGACTCCATGTTTCATCTCATTTTCTATAATTAGGATATGTATATAAACCTACAGTTAAACACACTAAATTCAACATATACGTGTATATATATATGTGTGTGTATGTATACACACATACTGGGAGATGATAAATATTATAGCACCGTAGACATTAACATACAGAGGCCAAGGGACTATATGCACTGGAGTGGTACACGAGGACTAAATAGATGTGGACAGATGACCATGTAAAATAATATATTATTAAGTGAACTCTAAGAAAAAGAAACGAAAGACATTTTTATTTGTCATTGTTATAGTTTGTTAATCTCTTTACCTTTTATTTTGTTTGTTTTGGGAGGATAAGAGAAGGTACATAAACAGTGGAACAAGGATGAACAAGTACAACAGTGATACTCTCTAGACACTATGTGGAAAATGAACTGGCCATCGTGTGGGTGAAGACAGGAGGAAAAGAGTAGGAGAGACATGGTATAAAAGAATTGTCCTCCTTACAGATTGCTTAACTCATGTAACTAACCTTCTATATGCTATCTTTACAGTGAGAATAAAAATAAAACCAAATAAATGAAATGAATAAACCGACCCATCACAAACAATGAGATCGAATTGGCAATAACAAACCTCCCTTCCAGGCAAAACTCAGGACATGATGGCTTTACAACTGAATTCTAAAAAAAACTTATAAAGGAGAATTATTAATTATTCTCAAACTCTTCAATAAAATAGAAAGTAAGAAACACTATTCATTCTATGGAAACCAGAGAAGTGCAGGTTGAGAAAAGGAATTTCAGATCCATCTCCCATATGAACATTGAAGTTCTCAAAAAATACTGGCAAATAGAAGTCAATTATTGATGAGAAAATTTAAACACTATGATGAAACTCGATTTGTCCCAGGAATACTAATCTGGTTTAACATATGTCAGTCAGTTAACATATTACAACACATTAACAGAAGCAAGGGAAAGAAACAAATGATCATATTGATAGATGATGAAAAAGCCTTTGATAAGTTCCAAATTTCCTTTGTGATAAAAACTTGGAAGGAGGTAGGAATACTTGGAACATTCCTCAGTATAAAAAAGCTGTATATGACAAACCTACAGCCAGCATTATGCTCAATGTTCAGCAATTAAAGCAATTTTCCCTAAAATCAGTAACATGATAAGGATATCCATTCTCTCTGTTCCTCTTCAACAGAGTATTGGAATTCCCAGCAAGAGTGGTAAGCAAGATAAAAGCACTTAGGGGAACCAAATGCGGAAGCAAGAAGTAAAACTGACCCTTTGGACAGATGACATTATACTGTATTGAAGGGACTCCAAAAAATTCTCCCCCAAGCTATTAGAATTGACCTGGAACATTGGCAACATACCTAGGTATGAAATCAACCCCCAAAATGAATTGCCTTTGTTTATACTGTTGATCAAGGCTGAAATTTGAAAAGGGACCTCATCTGCAATTGCCTCAAAATTATAAATTACCTGGAAATTAAGCAATAGGTGAAGGATATCTGTAGTGAAAACTTTAAATATTTGAAGAAGGAAATTGAAGAAATCTTAAGCAGCTGGAAAGATAGTTTATGGTCCTGGATTAGAAAAATTAGCCTTGTGGAAAATCACAATACTACCTAAAGCAATTTACAAATTCAATGCAATATCAATAAAAATCCCAACAAAGTTCTTCAAATAGAGAGAGAAAACAATCCAAAAATCCATGGATAATAAAAGGACAATGAACACCAAAGCCATACTTAGTCGTCAGTACAGTGGTGGACGAATTGCTTTAACAAACTTCAAACTCTATTACAGAGCCATAGTAATGATGACAGGTTGGTATTGAAGAAATGGTAGACCAGAGAATCAATAGAAGAGAATAGAAGTCCCAGAAAGGAACACAAAGACTTATAGCTCCCTGATATTCAGTAAAAGAGCCAAAATTTTAGGCTGAAAAACTGATGCTGAAAAAACTGTACATCGATGTATAGAAAACTGAAATTACATGTCCATACATCATCTAGTACACACATCAATTCAAAATGGATCAACAATTTCAATGTAAAGCCAGAAATCATGAAACTTATAGGAAAGAGTAGAGGAAGTGTTGGGCTCATAAGAACAACTCAGATTTTCTACAGAAACTACCAGGATCAGAACAAATGAACAACAGAATTGATAAATGAGTGTACATGGCACATAAAAGTTTCTGTCCTGCAAAGGGCATAGGTAACAAGCTTAATAGAAAGAGCACAGAATGGGAGATTTTTGTTCTACCAGCTATCCATCAAGGAAGATCGTCATATCCAAAATACCCCTCAAGCCCTTAAAGAAACAACAATCTGAGAAATTAATGAGCAAATGACTTAAAGAGAGATTTCTCAGAAGAAGAAATAAGAATGGCTGTAGACACATGAAAATTGTGCATCATCCCTGGTCACAAAGGAAATGAAAATCGAGACACCACTTTCATTTCACTTCACCCTAGTTAGATTAACCATTATCAATAAAACTATAAGAAATGCTGGCAAGGATGTGGTTAAAAGTAACTCCACTTATCTGCAAGAAAAATTTAATGGATAAATTTGTTATTTGTAGTCAATAGCATAGATACAATATTACTAAACCAGACCAGACTTTGTTTTGTATCTGTGTGTAGCTAAGAAATGCCCATTTGCTTTAACTATACTACCCAATGTGTCTATATTAGCACCTTAAGACAAATACTCAAACATATTTTGGGAAATTAAGAGAATGAAAATCATGTGTTCCCCAGTGGGAACACAAAGAATAAGGTAAGTCAGGTACTAGTGATTCATTCCTGTAGTCTTAATTTCTGAATAGGCTGAGATCTGAGGATTGTGGTTTGAAGCCAGGTTAGACAGGGATGTTTATGAGACTCTTATCTCCATTTAACTACCAAAAATGCCAGGAGTTGGGCTGTGGCTCAAGTGCTAGAACACTAGCCTTAAGTAGAAATGTTTAGTGACAGACAGCGCCCAAGACCTGACTTCCCAGGATCAGCACAAAAGAAAGAAAGAAAAGCATACCAGTAACATGTAAGATAAAGACATATATCTTATATAGCATGGAAGAGAGTAATTGCTATCCTGGGATCACTGCTTTCAATTGTGGGCAGCTACCCAGTGTATACTTGTCAAACCAACACTTGAAAAACAAGTGCAAATGATAGACACAGTGGCATTTTCAGATAGTTTGCTAGAATTTCTTCACTCTGCACGGTCATTTTCATTTCTTATCTTTTTTAGTATAGCCACTAATTAATTAGACTATGTGTTAAGGACAAAAAGGCAAGAACTTGCATGAGCACAAAGAAAGTAGAATTCATCCTGGGGAGATTAAGTTCTCTTATAAGTAATTTTTAAAATGCTATACTGTCTGTAAAAGCCTGTGTTCTGCAATATATCTGACATAAAACAGAACTAAGGTTTAGTTTGAAACAGTAACTACTTGCCTATGATAAGAAATTGTGTGTGTGTGTATGTGTGTGTGTGTGTGTGAGAGAGAGAGAGAGACAGAGACAGAGAGAGGCAGAGAGACAGAGAGGCAGAGAGAGACAGAGAGAGCCAGAGAGAGAGAGAGAGAGAGAGTCCCTCAGCATGAAACAAGCTCCTGAACAGTATCTTTGAGCTTTTTTGCTCCAGACTAACACTCTGTAACTCATCCACAGCTTCACTTTCAGCTTTTGTGTGGATGATTGCAGATAAAAGTCTCACAGATTTTATAGCCTGGCCTGGCTTCAATCCTCATATATCATGACTATGAGTAGTTAGAATTATCAGCATGAGTCATCAGCCAACCATAAGAAATTTTATCAATGTACTCAAAATACAGGTGTTATTAAAGACAATTTCTCACTAATGGCCTAGGAAGGAAGAAAATGTGGTTTAAGCCTTTTAGTACAGAACTCATGACAGTGACTCAGATTTATTGTAAAAACATCACTTCATTTTCTGCAATGATAGCTGAAAAGGAGGAAATACAGGCATGCTGGAGTAAAATGAAGAATTTACTGACTTGTAAAGGAGAAGCTACATAGAAGGAAAAAGACTTGTTTCCTACTATGGGAAGAAAATCACTCAACAGTTGATGTAAAACAAAATAATGAAACTGAGCTGCTCCAGGTGCAATAGAGTTGGAGGTCAGTCGAAAGGGACAGAGATCAATGATGTGTCCACCCACAGTTCCCTCATCCATTGCCCATCCTCAGAACAAAAGAGAAAATGGGAATAAAATAATGCATTACGTACGGTGTGTGTTCCTCTTGCCTGGAATCTTCACTCTTACTATGATCTTTTCCCAAAGTTTTGAGAGGGAAAAATCCCGCAATTATCACATCTCCATCCATGTGTGCTCGGTGCTTCATAGTAGAGAAGCAGCTAGTGCCAGCCAAAGACCTGACCAGGACGGGAAGCTGGAGAAGAATGAGGGTGAAAATCAAATAGAACATCCTTGAAGCCTCTCCCATTATTCCAAAAAGTGAAGCCCATATGTTAGGCATATATACTCATTTATATTTGAATATATGCATGTGTGCCTTTTTATTGATAGAGATTTACACTGTCGCTCCATTTTAATCAAAACCTCTTGTGAGTTGCCTGAATTAATGTGTAAAACTCTTCCCTGAGGCTCTACATCTGTGGCCTTCATGCAGGAGAAAAACATGAGTTGGAATACATGCATGGATTTGCCTTCTTCACTCCAGGTGCTATGATTCTATTCAAGACCACAGAGAGTGAGGCCCCAGAGATGGAGTTAGCTTGGAAAATTGTTGGTACAACGTCTGGCATGAAGCTATTTCCATGAGAGCCATTTGGGATGATGCAACTTCTTGCTTCAGAGGATGCCATGTCCTGTGCATGCTGAATTATCTACACAAAGTCTTTGCCTGTGAGATGTCTGTGAGATGTTCTGAGAGCATCATACCCAGACAGTTGATTCCCGCACAAAATGTCAATTACAGCCACAGAATGTTGGTGGTAGGATTCCATGTGCAAAGGCCTCCAGAAATACAACGATTTACTATTGCCTGGGGAAGCCATGATATTGCTGAAACAAACAATTGCATGTCAATTAACCCATGGTCAATGCTGAAATTGAGTTCCACTTTTGCATTCTGACATTTTACCTTCAAACATGATGCACTGGGTTGAGAACACTTTGTGGTAGAGGAAATTCTTCTGTATCACAAACATAAATCAATATCAAAAGAACTTCTATGTTTTCTATTTGTCAACATATGTTAGACCCAAATTCCGTGCAGAGAATTTAGTGGCTCTGGAGAATAGTGATCCTTCAGGGAAGTGAACATACTCTACATTGTGCTGCAATATTGGATGTGTATTTTGGTACACTTGTTCACAATCATGCATTAGGTAACAGAAAACATACATCATTTCTTCTTTAACAATGTAGGAGGAGGACTGGAAAGGTGACTCAGGGGTAGAGTGCTTGCCTTGCATGCATGATGTCCTAGGTGCATTTCCTCAGCACCACATAAGCAGAAAAAGGCATAAGTGGCACTGTGGCTCAAGTGGTAGAGCACTAGCCTGAGGTGAAGAGCTCAGGGAAAGCACGCAGATCGAGATTTTAGTCCCCACGACTGACAAAAAATGTAGGAGGAAAGAAAAATCTTTCTATGAGATTGCTACTGATCTTTTACAATATATACCACTTATTTTGTAAATTCTTACTACCATGTTTTAGCTGGACAGAGGATTTTTATATATTTTTATTTTTTTGGTTTGTTTCAAATTTTTATGGTCAAGATTATGTGAAAAGGGGTGACAGTTTCATAAATAAGATAGTGAGTACATTTCTTTTTTAAATTTTATTTTATTGAACATGCTGTACAGAGGGCTTAGTTACATGAGTAAGGCAATGAGTACATTGCTTGTTGATAATTATTGCCCCAGTCTTGTTGTTCTCCCACTATCTCTTCCCTCCCCCTCCCACATTGCTCCCCACCCCACTGTATTCCCCAGCCCAAAGTTGTAAAGTTTGTTTCCAGTATATTGTCCTGTGGGTATGGATGTTGAAATGGGTCATCCTATGTCATGTTTCAGCCTTTTGTTATTCCCCTTCCCCAACCCAGATTAGACAAACGTAAATACAAGATGCAGGGTACCAAAATCAAATACAGTCACATCAGGGGATATATCATAACAGGAAGAACATACAAAAGAAACAAACAAATATCATAGTATATTTGGAACAATAGCAAGGAAATGAGACCTCTTGTATTAATAAATTGGGTTACTTTTACTTAGGATCATTTTATATGGACATATATACATAGCTTTTGAGCTTTTCAGCTCATCTGATAAGATTACCCTATATACATGTATATATGTGTGTGTGTGTGTGTGTGTGTGTGTGCATGTGTGTATATATACTAATGCATTTCTTTACAAATGAGGAGGAATCACTTTTTTCTGATAGAAGTATAGTATTCCAATATATATTTAAATGTATATACATATTATATACATATATATATATATATATATATATATATATATAACATTTCCTTGATCCATTCATCAATTGAGGGGAATCTGGGTTGGTTCCAAACCTTACATATGGTAAATAATACTGTGATTAATATAGTTGTGCTGGTACCTTTAGTATGGCCTTGTTTGTGGTCATTTGGGTAAATGCCCATTATTGGGAATGCTATGTCATAGGGGAGCTCCGTTTAGTATTTTGAGGTACCTCCATACTGCTTTCAATGCAATGCCCATCAATATTCCAACCTCATTCTTTAGTGAAATAGAAGAAGCTATCCATAACTCAAATGCAATAAAAAGACTGAATAGGAAAAAACCCCTAGCAGAAAGAACAGTGCTGAAAGAAAATCAATACAAGCTTTAAACTCTATTACAAAGCCATAGTAATCAGAACAGCTTGTTACTGGCACAGGAACAGACCAAGGACCAGTAGAATAGAAGTGAATACCTAGAAATGAACCAGCAGACCTATAATCACCCAATTTTGATAAGGGAGCCAGTAAAATAGAATAAAAGAAAGACAGCTTCTTCAGTACATGATACCAACAAAATTGATCCTTTTATACACCCTGCACCAGAATCAACTCCAAATGTATCAACAAACTCAAAGTAAAAGCAGACACACTGAAATTATTAAAAGAAGGAATAGAAGAAACAATAGGGTTCCTTAGCACATGTCAGAATCAAAAAAATAAATCCCGCAAAAACAAATCCTCATAGAAACAACTGCCCCATTAATAAGTGGGCTAAAGACATAAAGGGGACTTCTCTTCAGAGGAAACAAGAATGGCCAATAGACATAGGAAGAATAGCTCAACTTCTCTGGCCATAAAAAGGGCAAATGAAAATAACATTGGGATTCCATCTCACCCCAGTTAGAATGGCTATAATCAAGAAATGTAATAACAACAGATATTGGATAAGATGTGGCCAAAAGGGCAACTACTATTTATGAATAAGGTTTTATTGTTACATGAAAGAAAAATAATTTCATATGGGTACATTTTCCTTTCTTCTTACTTCTGTCCTTCTATTTATCTAAGAACTTTTCTTATATGTGCCAATACCTTTCTTCATGCCTGACATCCATACTCTAGCTTCAACACATCAATTCATCCAAACATCGTCTTCAATCCTTTACTGAGGAAAAAAGAGGGTTGTGTAAGTTAACTGAAATTCCAACCAAGAAGAAAATAGCAAAGAATGCACAATATTTTGCACAAGCTCTAAAATCAAATATTCTCCCAATAAATTCCCAACAAAAAATGAGGATTCAGTGTTTTACACAATTTTATAAACTTAGGTCTATTAATTGCATTTAAAAATAAATAAAAAAGATAAATAATGTAAATAGAACCTGGTACGTATTTTGAGGATATCTTAATTACCATACTGAGGGAGTTGTACTATCATCATTTGTTAAACAGCATGCCCTCCAAGGAAGATCATCCACAAAATATTTTTGCCAATACATTGTGACATTGCAACTTAAATATTTATTAATATTAATCAATGATCAGTTCCACTGTCGTTTATTTACTAGAAATGTAAATGTGAGAAGAGTTTTGAAGTTTCCTGAGCAAGAAAATCCATGAGACTCTTATTTCCAGTTAAAGACACAAAAGCTAGAAATTGAGGTGCAGTTGAAGTGGAAAAAGAGCCTTGAGTGAAAATCCTAGGCAGAGTCTAGGCCCTGCGTTCAAGCATGCCTAAATACATTTAATTGATTTCAGAAGACACATGTAATGAACACTGGAGCAGATAATAATGAGGGAAATTGTGCCTATATGTCTATAAAAATAATATAGAACACACTGTCACCTGATTTGAAAAAATAAGTAATGATTTCCTTATCATATTAAGTATTTTGACATGTGACAGATTAAAATGTTCATGTTTCAACAGATTGTAAGAAGTGGTAACATTCAAAGAAATAAACTTTTTTTTTAATTGTGAAAACATTGTATAGAGGGGTTACAATTACACGGACAATATAATGAGTAGATTTCTTTTTTTATTGTGAAAATACTGTACAGAAGGGTTACAATTACATGGGCAGGATAATGAGTACATTTCTTATCAAGTATTGTTGCCTCCTCCTTCATTTCCCCTTCCCATCCATTCCCATCTCCTCTCCTCTCCGCCTCCCCACCCCCACAAAAGTTGTAAAGTTCATTTTTCGACATAATGACTTGTACATCTCATTGTTGAAATGGGTCCACCTGTATGCCTACTTAAATGATTTGTTAAGAAATAATCTTTTATATACTTAGTGCACTAATTTCTATGTACCAAGTAAACAAAATGTGATTAACAAACATAAATCAAAAGTTTATGACTAGCCATGGGGAAGTGAGCTATGATGCATTACAGACTTTCATCTTAAGGGAAGAGTCAAAAAGTCCTCAACATTGTAATCTTAAATTGAAGAACATTTATGCAGTATTTACAAGACATTTCTAACACCATATCAGGGAAGCAGGGTGAAAGGGAAAAGGAACTGAGAGAAGTAGTGGAGAGTTGCAAAGAGAGAGACAGAGACAGACACAGGGAGAAAGGCCCCACAAAAGAGACTCAAGATTATTGCAAAAGGCAAAGGTGTGAGTAGAAATATACAAGCATTGAACTAAACAGTCTCTAAGATCATGTTCAAAGGTGAAACTTTGTGAAGAGGAAAACATAAATGAGATGGATTTGAGGACTAAGGAACATGATAGTGTGCAGATAGGAAGTTAGTATACTTGAAAATTTAGAAAAATGAGTAAAAAAAAAAAGCAGTGAAAAGAAACTGAGAAGAAAGGGAATATGATGAATTGTAGATTATATAGGGGGAAGGAAAATTATACAAAAAAATGGAGACTCAAATACTTATCACCACTAAATGTAATTACCACTACTAGAAAAATGAGCAATACATTCTCATTCATTAAAGTAAAAATTCCACAGTACATACTAATATAACTGGAGCATTAATATACGTGTAGATAGGATCTAAATACTAAGCACCCATATGAAAAATTCATAAGAAATCTAATTTCTCCTACTGTGTCATTTATGCCTGATGCCATGCAGAGAATTTCTTTTGGGCATTAACAATATAATGTAACACATTGGAGCAAATATAAAGCCAGGGAGCACTGCACCAGTGACCAAGATGAGAAGACTTCCACTGCCACAATAACTTTCCCCTTAGCAGTTGGTAGACAGGCAGGAAAGTGAGCCACACACTGCAGAACAGCAACATGCTGAAGGTCAGGAACTTGGCTTCAATGAAGGTGTTAGGCAGGTTCTTGGCCAGAAAAGGCACAGTGAAGCTGGCCATGGCCAGGAAGTCCAGGTATCCCAACACACATTAGAAGGCAATGTAGAAGCCCTTGTTGCACAGGATGATGATGTGGCCATGTTCAGAGTGTGCATCTGCGTCAATGTAGGGAGGAGAGTTTGCCAACCAGAGTCTACAAGAGAGTCAGCTGGATGAGAGTGCAGATAGGGATGATGAAGTTAGGAACCCTGGATTCCAGGAGCCATCTCATCCTTTTCTCTGAAGAAGTGGCCTTTAAGGCCAGAACCACAGTCACCATTTTGGTTAACACTGTGGAAACAGCCACAGGGAACACAACCCCAAATGTGATCTGCTGTAGAATGCAGGTGACTGTGTTAAGACAGCCAATAAAGAGCAAGGAACAGAGGAAACAGAGGATGAGGGAGATGAACAAGAGGTAGCTGAGAGTCTGGTTACGGGCTTTGACAATAGCAGTGTCTTGGTGTTTCACAAACATCCCAAGTAGAGCAGCAGTTAGTATAGAGAAACAGAGGCATGCAGGCCAGAACCATGTCCAGGAGATCTCTAAAGACCAGGAAACTTGCGTCTCTCAGGAGGCACTGATTTTTCTATATGTTAGCATAGTAATGTTCTGGACATTTCACACACTGATCTAAGTCTGGTGAAAAGAGTATACTCCTATTAGTTCTTGTTATGAATTCTGTTTCTTCAAAGAATTTAGGAAATTGAGGAAATTTACTATCATAAAAGTATTTTTGTTTCTTTTCTCAGCTACAAAGGCCTCCCATTTCCATCTTTTTCTTTATACAGGGCATTTTTTTTAAAACTTTTTCCTTCAGTGGCTATCACATGTATTGATAATGTGACAGTTGGGCTACCGTAATATACCAACAAAAATTATATATACTTTTTCTCATTCTGATGGACAGTTCTGGGATCCTATTGAAAATTGTAATTATACAGCTTGTACTTTCCTACATGTCTCCATAAAACATATTTTCATCACTGTGGGATATTATCCTTTCATTCATGTCATTATGTTTATCTCGCCTGATCACCTGTGAAACTGCAGGAACAGTGTCCACTCTTGGACACTCTGTGGTCATCCTCACTCTTAAACTGAATCCACCTTTATGAGCACTTGCTTTGTGTAAAGACCCGTTCTGGGCTCTGAGAAATAAAGATTATGTCATATCCTTGACTTCTGTGTGGGTAAAATGTAACCTTTAAAATGAACACTGTCCTTTAAATTCATGCTAGAGTTTACAATTTGTCCTAATGGTTAGTGATAAGAAGGGTACCTGGAGATAATTTTTCCTGCAATAGACTAGAAAACATAACTGAATATCCAATTCAAAATCATGCTCTATCATATTGCAAATAGAAAACCCCTACTTCTCCAAAGTATATTATGAAAAAAGGATAGGAAAACGGGCTCTTTAATCCAAATACACAACCTTTGCATTAACTTCTTTGGAAAGAGGAAAACTAGTGAAAAATGGAGAATTTCTTCATAATTCATGGACTTACCTGTCCTACTAGCAATCTCATTCTGTGCACAAGGCTAACAATGAAAGCAAAAGACAGGCTTTCACTCCTGAGTAGATTTCCTGAATCTAGGAACACAACTGTCACTGCAAACAGAATGAGGAGTCTGAGGAGATTCAAGGATGTGTCAGTAACTGTTGGCTTATGAAAAAGTCCATTGTTTAAAGACTCAGATTATTAAACATACCGATTCTATGTAGGTAAGTGCAGTTTATTAATTGAATAATTTTATAATTTCTTATTCCAAAAGGCTTACATGCTACAACCTTGATTTTAGCCTGTTGAATTGTTGCAAAGTATGGGATCCTTAAAAGGCAGAAGCTAGTGGTCAGAAAGTAATTCCTAGCGTAAAGCCCTATGGGATTTCCTTGAATTCATGTCATTATATGTTGTATTTTACTCATCTGTTTCATGGGGAAGAACAAGGAGGAAGACCTCCCTTTAACAGGGTTATGTAAACCCCAGAGCTACCGTAATTATGTCTTTGCTCCAAGTGTCCATAACATGAGCATGTTCTCACAGGTGCCTTGAACGATTCATTTCACCAAAAATGGTTAAATAGCCAGTCAATGAAGCACTGAGTGAATCTTCATTTAAGGAGAAAAAGAAACCTTGCAACCACATAAAACAACTCGTCATATACTTTATCACAGTGTTAGAAACACTGATAAAATTATAATTTATTGCTCCTCAATGAAAAGAACACTGCTGGAGGAATATCAATACCAAATTTCAGACTCTACTAAAAAACAATAGTAATCAAAACAGCTTGGTACTGGCAAAATAACAGACCTCAGGACCAATGGAATAGAATTGAAAACCCAAATATGAACTTACCGACCGATAGCCATCTAATCTTCCATAAGGGAGCTAAAAAAATAGAATGGAAGAAACAGAGCCTCTTCAGTAAATGATGCTGGCAAAATTGGTTAACAATGTCTAGAAAACTAAAGCTAGATCCTTACATATCATGCTGCACCAGAATCAACTCCAAATGGATCAAAGACCTCAGAGTCAAAGCAGACACACTGAAAACATTACAGGATGGAATATGAGAAACACTAGGTCTCCTTGGCGCAGGCCGAAATTTTCTTAATAGAGACCCGGAAACACAACAAATCAAAGAAAGGTTGGGCAAATGGGATTGCATGAAGTTGCAGAGCTTCTGCATGGCAAAGGACATACCTAGCAAGATCAATAGAAAGCAAACTGATTTGGAGAAGATCTTCACGAGCCATACAACGGAGAAGGGTCTCATATCTAAAATATACATGGAACTCAAAAAATTAAATCCCCCAACAACAAATCCTCAAAGAAACAATTGCCCAATAAATAAGTGGGCTAAAACTTAAAGAGAAACTTCTCTGAAGAAGAAAGAAGGATGGCCAATAGACACATGAAGAAATGCTCAACCTCCCTAGCCATAAAGGAAATGCAAATCAAAACAACATTGAGATACCACCTCACCGCAGTTAGAATGGGAAAAATCAAGAACTCTAACAACAACAGATGCTGGAGGGGATGTGGACAGAAGGGAACCTTACTTCATTGTTGGTGGGAGTGTAAACTTGTTCAACCATTTTGGAAAGCAGTATGGAGGTTCCTCAAAAGACTTCAAATAGAGCTCTCCTATGACCCAGCAATCCCACTTTTGGGCATTTACCCAAATGTTTACAAACAAGACCACACTAAAGCTACCAGCACAATGACGTTTACTGCAGCAATATTTACCATAGCTAAGATATGGAACCAACCCAGATGTCCCTCAGTAGATGAATGGATCAAGAAAATGTGGTGTACATACACAGTGGAATTCTATGCCTCCCTCAGAAAGAATAACATTGCCCCATTTGTTAGGAAATGGAAAGGCTTGGAAAAAATTATATTAAGTGAAGTAAGCCAAGCCCAAAGAAAGATATGTCCCATGGTTTGCCTTATTTGCAATATCTAGTATATGAATGAGTCAAGCAGAAAAGGTCTGATAAGGTGTTGTTAGGAAAATGAACCCTTAGATATGTATTTTAATGTTTTTTTCTTTCATTCATTTGTTTCTAATGCATTTATAAGATTATTTCTTTGTTGCTTTGTATGTCCCTCCCCCACAGTATAACCCCTGCTTTCACTATATTTGATGTCGGTATAAATTATGGAGGAGATGGGGAAAAACAGTTCGTGTAAGGATACAGGGGGACCCCTTGCAACAATGAGAAGTACAAGTTGTCATGAGAAAAATGAATTTTACAACTTTGTGTGGGGGGTGTGAGGGAAGAATTGGGGGGTAGGAGGGAGGATGGGAAGGAATGTGAAGAGTAAACAAAAGAGGAGGCTGCAATGCTTGATAAGAAATGTACTCATTATGTTGCCCATGTAATTGTAACCCCTCTGTACAGTATGTTCACAAAAAATAAAAAAAAAAAAAGATACCACCTCACCCCAGTTAGAATGACAAAAATCAAGAACTCTAATAACAACAGATGCTGGAGGGGATGTGGACAGAAGGGAATCTTACTGCATTGTTGGTGGGAGTGTAAACTTGTTCAACCATTTTGGTAAGTAGTATGGAGGTTCCTGAAAAGACTCCACATACAGCTCCCCTATGACCCAACAATCCCACTTTTGGGCATTTACCCAAATGGTTACAAACAAGACCACACTAAAGCTACCAGCACAACTATGTTTATTGCAGCATCATTTACTATAGCTAAGATATGCAACCAACCCAGATGCCCCTCAGTAGAAGAATGGATCAAGAAAATGTGGCATATATACAAAATGGAATTCTATGCCTCCATCAGAAAGAATGACATTGCCCCATTTGTTAGGAAATGGAAAGCCTTGGAAAAAATTTATCCAAGAAACACTACTTTCCCAAATATCCCACACAGATCTAAAGACATTAATTGTTGGGGATTTTAACAAACCATTCTCCCCAGTAGATAGATCAACTCGGCAAAAACTCAACAGAGAACCCGAAGATCTAAACGGGTGCATAGATCAACTACATTTCACAGACATATACCAAAGATTTCACCCAGCAGAATCAGAATACACGTTTTTCTCAGCAGCACATGGAACATTTTCTAAAATAGACCACATTTTAGGCCACAAAGCAAACTTGTCCAAATTCAGAAACATTGAAGTTATACCTTACATTCTCTCTGACAACAAAGAAATAAAATTAGAACTTAACACCAAAAGCCACCAAAGAGAATCCGGTAACACATGGAGGCTGAAAAACACACTGCTGAAGCACGAGTGACTCATGGAAGACATTAGATCAAATGTTCATGCTATTCAACAAAAATGAGCACACAAATTACCAGCTCCTCTGGGACACAGCAAAGGCAGTATTCAGAGGCAAGTTTATAGCTCTGAGTTCCTACATCAACAAATTGGAGAGATCTGAAACCAACAATTTAATTAGACATCTGAACCTCCTTGAAAAAGAGCAGCAAATATACCCCAATCCAGTAGATGGAAAGAAATAATTAAAATTAAATCAGAATTAAATTAATTAGAATCAAAAAAAACTATAGAAATAATCAACAAAACAAAGAATTGATTCTTTGAAAAAATTAACAAAATT